TTTTAAAATAGTTAGTGATTGTTATTCAATTTTACTATTTTCTATTAAGTTTGTAACATTTTATTTTTAGCTGGTGTTGGACTTTGTATATAAAAGCCTAGTGTATCAGTTTTTTAGTTCATGTGAATTAGAAAGTTTTCATTATTTTTTCTCTACGCCTTTCTTGCGAGATTGAGGACCAAAAATCCTAACATTGGTATCAAGAGCTTGACGATCAAAGGACTGTGGTTGTGAAAAGAGTAAGACTGAAGGATGGATAGTGATGTGTGGTATTTGATATAGGATGTTCTAATCATATGACTGGACACAAGGAATGATTTGTGAGCTTGGATGAAACAAAGAAAGCAAAGTGAGATTTGCAGATTCTTGTTCACAGGATGGATGGCAAAAAGTGTTACATTACTAATGTGCTTTATGCGCTCAATATGATAAGTAATCTGCTGAGTTTGGGCCAATTGCTTGAAAAAGGATATACCATAAAAATGGAAAAGAGACTATTGTCTATTTTTTATAATAATGGAATGTTAATCTTGAAGGCTCCTCTCTCAAGTAACAAGACTTTCAAGATTGGAATCCAATTTGAAAATATTGAGTGTTTGACATTTGTGTTGGAGGACACAAATTGGTTGTGGCATCATAGATTTGGGCATTTGAATTTCAAATGTTTAAGTTTGTTGAACAGTAAAGAAATGGTTAATGGATTGCCTCAAATTATTTTCCAAAGGAAATGTGTAAAGAGTGTTGTGCAAGCAAACAACCAAGAAAGGTCTTTGTTTCTCTAATTCCTATTAAAACTAGTAAGTCGCTTGAATTAGTTTATTCTTATGTATGTGGACCTATGGAAGAAGTTTCAATTGGTGAAAATATTTTTTGACCTTTACTGATGACTTTACAAGAAAAATGTGGGTTTATTTGATTAAAAGAAATTATGAAGTGTTTGGTGTGTTCAAAAGGTTTAAGACATTGGTAGAAAAACAAAGTGGTCATTCTTTATTGAAAATAAGAACTTATGATGGAGGATAGTGTACCTCACATCAATTTGAAAGATTTTGTGAAGAAAAAAGTTTAATTCATGAGGTTGTGGCACCCTATACTCCACAGCATAATGGCACAGCAGAGAGAAGGAATAAAACCATTTTGGACATGACAAGAAGGATGATAAGGGCTAAGTGCTTGTTGAAGGAATTTTTGGGTAAAGTTGTGTGCACAGCAGCTTACATACTAAAAAGATGTCCAACTAGAAAGTTAGATGAAAAGACTCCAAAGGAAGCTTGGAATATCCTCTGGAGTGGTTCAAAACCAAATGTGAATCATTTTAAAGTGTTTGGCTCATTTTGTCACAACTATATTCCAGAAGTTAAAAGGAAAAATTTGGATGATAAAACTGAGGTCCTTATTCTGTTAGGCTATCACTCTACTAGTGCTTATAGGATGTATGATCCCATTAATCAGAAGAAGTAATCAGCCAGAGATGTGAGAGTTGATGAAACTAAATGCTGGAACTGGAACTCACCAAATAAGCAAGAAAACATACTAATGTTTGAGTCAAATGTGATGAAATACAGCCTGTATTTGAAGACCAAGTAGCCAGATCACAAAGAAATAGAAGATTTCCATCAAGATTGAGTGACTTTGAAATTATCCAAAATTCAGAAGTCACAACGAAAGGAGAATTAGTACATTTCTCCCTAATCAATGAAGCAGAACCAGTGGTTTTTGAACAAGCAATTCAAGAATCAAATTGCTTAGAGACTATGAAGGATGAACCAAGGTCAATTGAACAAAATGATACATGGAGTTTGGTTGATCAGTCAACAAATAAGAAGCCTATTGGAGTGAAACAGGTGTTCAAGGTGAAGATAAATCTAATGATGAAACAACCAAGTACAAGGTCAGATTGGTTGCAAAAGGCTTTCAGCAAAACGTTGGAAATGACTATGAAGAGTTGTTTGCTCCTATTGCTAGATTGGATACAATGAGACTAGTGGTTGCAGTTGCAAGTTTAAACAATTGGTCCCTTCATCAAATGGATGTGAAATCAGTATTTTTGAATGGATCTCTTGATGAAGAGGTCTATGTGACTCAACCACCTGGATTTGAAGTGAAAGGAAAAGAAAGAATGATATACAAGTTGAAAAAGGCCTTTTATAGCTTGAAGCAAGCTCCAAGAGCTTGGATTAGGAGAATTGATAATTTTCTATCAATCAAGGCTTTGTTAAATGTAAGATAGAATATGGGGTATCTGTAAAAGGACTTCTAGCTGCTAAACTAGTCATTGTATGCCTCAATGTGGATGATCTTCTTGTTACAAGAGGTTCTGAAAAGGGCATTGCAGTATTCAAAACCAATATGATGAAAGAAATTCAAATGACAGACTTGGATGAACTATCTTATTTCTTAGGACTTGAATTTGTCAGAACAAGTCATGGGTTTGTCATGCATCAAAGGAAATATACGACAGATATGCTTAAAAAGATTTCAGATGATTGAATGTGACTCAGCCCCAATTCCAGTAGGTCTAGGAGTAAAGCTTGAAAAGGAGGGAAGTGATACAGCTGTGGATGCGACCCTATATAGAGAGATTGTTGGTTCTTTGAGATATGTGTGCAATAGTATACCATATTTGACCTTTGGTGTTGGGTTAATTTGTAGATTTATGAACAAACCCAGGGTATCACACTTGCAAGCTGCAAAGAGACTCCTCAGATATGTCAAAAGAACCTTGGATTATGGCATATTATTTTCAAACAGAGGTAAAAAGTTGGAGTTTAATCTGGTTGCCTATACTGACTCAAATTGGAATGCAAGTTGTGACAGGAGCAGCACATCAGGGTATGTATACATGATAGGTACAACTCCAATATCATAGAGTTCAAAGAAACAATCAATAGTTGTTTTGTCTTCTTGTGAAACAGAGTATGTTGCAGCATCCTATGGAGCATGTCAGGCATTATGGTTGATTGGATTGATTCAAGAATTAAGGTTAGGAATGAATGACTCTATGGTGTTGAAGATTGACAAGTCAGCAATACGTCTTGCAAAACATGCATCAATCCATGGAAGAAGCAAGCATATAGATATACGTTTCATTTTCTAAAGGATCAAGTTGATAAAGGAAAGCTAAAGATTGAGTATTGCAGAAGTGAAGAACAAGTAGCTGATGTTTTTACAAAGCCACTTAGAAGCGCTAAATTCTGAGTTAAGATACATGTTAGGAGTTAAAAGAGTTTAAGAGAAACTGAATTATAAAGAGAGTGTTAGTTTTTTTATTTAGTTTCTATAGTTTCAAAATAGTTAGTGATTGTTATTCAATTTTAATATTTTCTATTAAGTTTGTTATATTTTATTTTCAACTGGCAGGACTTTGTATATAAAAGCATATTGTATCTGTTTTTCGGTTCATTTGAATTAGAAAGTTTTCATTCTTTTCTCTCTATGCTTATCTTGTGAAATTGAGTATAAAAAATCCCAACACAATTAAGATACATTAGAGCAAGTTAAAGTTTGTTAGAATTTTTACTTTAAACTTATAAAATAAAGCAAGATATTTAATCGTAAAAGAAAATGTCAAACATGTATACAAAGGTGTGATTGGCCTTTGAGATGTAATAAATTCATTTACCTTTTTATATAGGCTTCAAAAGCAAAACACAACTCCCAAAAATAGTGATGGGTAGCCAAAAGAAAGATGAATAAATACTGGATTTAGAAAGAATATAAAATTAACCTAACAAAAACTGGTCTTGTGAAGATACGAGAATACGAGTTGAACAAAAAAAAAATCAACTCTCATAAAATTAAGATAGGTGAAGACATTTTTATTGTATACTTATCATAATTAAATTTAGAAGTCTCTTTACTTAGGGAAAACCTTTTTATTTTTATTATGATTTATTTTTATTTTCAAAAATTTATACACAATATGATCAAAATATAAAAGCTCATATTTATCCATGCACCTAAAGTATTAAAAGAGCATGTTGAATTACAATGGCCGAGGAGTGATCAAATTTTCATTTTACTTTTGGTTGGAGGAAAATTGTGAAAAGATAAGAGAAGAAATTTTTATAATCATTTTATTTTTGGTTCAATACCGTGAAAGAAATGGAAGGAACGGAGGCAAAAACCTCTCCACTCAATTTTAACTCCGCTCTAAAAATAAAAGGTTTTGAAGGATTATAAAATTTATATACTATTTAAACAAAATTATTTATTTAATAACTTTATTTAACAGTCTCTTTCCCTTCTCAATCTATGGCCAAACAAAGTATCCTTTCGCTCTTTTCTCATCCAAATCAAAATCACTATTATATCATTCAATTTTTTCACTTAATAAATTTATCTTAAAATCTACTGTGGAATTAGAAGTTCTATTATACATATCATATCTACAAAATCTAAGAGTGATCAACAATTATTTAATACATTAATTTAAGTTTAGATTAATTTAATGCGTAGTTTATAATATACACTTGAAAGAAGTGTATTCATTCGTTATAAAATTTGACACGTCATGCAAGAATAGAAGAATATTAGTTCAGATTCAAAAATTACATAAATAGAAGTTACGTTTACAATAGTTATTCAAGAATATAAGAATATCAGCTCAGATTAAATTAAATAGACAGCATTTAATACAATTTAATAAATCAAATTTCCATCATATCTGATTTTACCTTTACAACTATGTAAGCATTTGAAAAAATTATGCAATTCTTAATTTAACATATAAAATTAATACATGATTTATAAACTCTTTTAACAATTTAAATAATTTTTAGTGACACTTTCCAAATAAATTCATTTTAACATAATTGAATAAAATTTATAACATAAAATATAAAGTATTGAAGGTTTATTAAATAAATTCTTAATTAACACATTTACCCACCCATACGCGGTTAGTATTGCTGTTACTTCTAAGTTACAGGTAACAGCAGAAGTCAGATTTCGATATAAAGGTAATATTGGAAAGAAAACAAAAAGAGTGAACTTCTATTCTGTATCTCGGTATGTTCATGTGATTTTTGAAAGTGCTACGAGAACCACTAATGTAAACCGGGACATCCCCAAAAAAAATACAGACTTCCAAGAATAATCATATCAACATGCTCTAAAATTAAAAGTAAATTTTTAATTCCCTTTTTTGGTAAAATTGACCAAAAACAACATAAACTTTATCATGTAGAATCAAACCCTCATGAAAGAAAAGAAACGGATCAAAATAGCCCCAAAAGATGCAATTGCCCAGCACCTTCCACTGCAGACAAAATAGCCCCCTACCCTACGAACCCTATATAACTTTTAACCCAAAAAGAAAAAAGGAAGGAAAAAATTCCCCTGTTAAGCAGGCAGGATTGAGGCACCTGTAACTTATTGCAATATTTGCAAAATGCAGGGTTCATCAAAAGGCACCCTTCTTTCACTCTCAAATCATTGACCTTCTCAGAACAAAAGGAATGGAACTAGTCATCTGCCATCAAAAATGGAAAGTTGGATCTTACTATGATTAAAAAAACCATACATCAAGCTTCAGATCCAGGATCAGAAGAGCTCGATTCAGCAGAAGATCCACGCAAGTTAGAAGCATAAGATTCAAACAACTTGGACAGATTTGGCTGCATGCCCTGGCAAACCTTTAATGTAGTGGGGTCCAATTTCTTGCACTGGAAAACAAAAGCCAACGAAGAATAAGCAAACAAATCCCACCAGATCATAGTAAACTTTATTGCCTCAGCTAAATCAACTCAGCAAGTTACATTAAAATGTAATATATCAGGGCTATAAACATCACTGATAGACAGAACGATGCAACATATAATTTTAAGCTTAGCTAGACGAATGATACTTTCAAACCCATTTCGCTAGACAAAGCAAGGCCTTTTAACTTTAGAAGAGTAAAATCCACATAATACATCACATTGATGCAAAAACAAACTAAGCTAGGTTCAATGGATTATATCACAATCAATACAAAATTAGATCAAGGATTCAAGATAAGACATTACCACCTCCTGATAGAAAGCATTGATCTCCTCTTCTGTAAGGCCTTCATCCTCATCCGAGTTCTCCTCCCAGCCAAGGGAACGAAGGAATGCAGCTTCTTCCTCATCTGGATATATTGTAGCTCTGGAAATTGATTCCTTCTCTTCATTATCAGAAAGTCTGTGAACCTCTTCATGCGTATGGACATTGCCATTGCTAGTCAGTTCAGCACCATTGCCGAGAGACTGAAGATTTGCAGAAGGGCAAACTATTTCCCTATTTACTTCATCAGATTTCTCTATTGCAGGAGAAGAAACCATTGGACCGGAGTCTGGAAGAACTGTAGAGGAGTTCATTAATGTTTTCTTCTTAATGAGATTGAAGAAATCATTTCGGCTCTGCACTTGAGAAATGGAATGTTTTTTATCCAAAGTGGAACCTAATTTCACATCCAAAGCTGGCTTGCGCTCCGTGGAGGATTTAAGGTTATTGGGGTTCCTCATAGGTGCAGAAGCAGCTGTAGAAGATACAGCATGTTGATTTACTGATTTGCTGTTAGAATAATTTGTAGGATTTGAAACATCCTTGGAGGTAGGGGAAACACCATTTTCCCACACTACTGATTTAAGATCAGTAAACTTTCCAGATGTCTTTGGAGCATCAACCTTGGCATTTACACTGCGAACAGATTGACTAGTAATGTGCAATGCAGAGGGTTGCTGTGGCACATTCTTGGAAACTACATTCATCTCAGCATTTCTGACAGTTGTTTTGGGCTTTGATTTCTCAGAAGAATTAAGAACCTGGCAAGAAAATAAGCATAAATCACCAATGATTTCAGAGAAAATAATGCATGACTGTCCATCTTTTATTCAATACAATATACAAAATGCTAGAAAATAGAAACTTCGATGTACGCGTACAACATGACACAATCCTTATTCCTCCAAGAGTTTCATATATACATGGAAACAAATAGTGCATTATTCAATCAAAATCATTTTTGATACTAGTGAAACATTAAGACCAAATCTGCATACATATCATAACACATTTCTAAAACTGAAGTACCATCTAAAGGAATGAAAAGGCTCACATATAATAGAGACATCGACAAACCCATCAGTCATCAAGTAACCAGAGAAAGTATGGAAAAGCAATGTAAAGATAGCAAGAATGCAAATGTAGTAAATGAAGTGAAACAAATAACAAATTATATTTAAAAGGGAAATAGAAATACTTATAATTAAAGGAGGAAAACTTATATGATATTAACACAGATCATCATACATAGAAATGTGTATCCTGTATCTCTTTATAAAGTTTTCACAATTTTTACTTTAAAAATGGTGGAATGATATTACTTGCCCCAAATAATTAAAAAAAAAAAAACATAAATGGTTTTCCTGAAGCAATTGAATATCAAATCATACATAGTTATTAATCTTGAAAAATGGAGCGTAGTAGACAACCCTCAAAATGCTATAGTGGGATAGTGCACGGCAGGGTAACTGCTATTTTAAAGTTTTTTATATGGATATAAAATATATACATATGCAAATAATAATGTATATAATGCTCAAAAAAAATATGAATAAATAGAATTTGAATAATTATCATATGAATAAAATGTTTATTCATATTGCTCCAGTGCCAAGGAGCATGTAAATATCACTAAAAAGAAACCACTTGATGATATAAATGATATGCTTCATAAATTCAGGCTACAAATACAATCCTTAAAAATGACAAATGGGATACCAAGAGAAAAATTATTTGCTCAACCAAATCATTCATGTCTAATACTAGTAAATAACAAACTGTGTTCATACATAATAGCTCAAATTGCAACTGATATCTTTTCAAATTTTGGCAAAGGATAGAGAGAGACTACAGTTTCATAAAGTAATTTAAAAAGAGTTCAAATGAGGGTTGCTTAGAAGTTAGAACATCTGCCTATATTACAAAAAGTAAGAATAGAAACGCATGTGCCCTTTATAACACCTTAGAGAAAATCATGATTAATAACAACTCATAGCTTTCCCAAACAGCACTCTCATCATAAATTCATGCATTGCATAACAACGACTAAATCAGCAAGTCAAGTACCAATTCCTGTATGAATTTCACATGCATACACAAGAACAAAGACTAATAAGAACTCATTAAAATAAGCCAAGAAATAAATGAAAAAGTGAAGCTTTTGATATGTACTCATGTCCAATCAGGTCTACCAGATTGAGAGCTAAGTTCAACAATAAAACAGCCCACCAAAACTTCTGTTCATTATCCCTTTTACAACATGAAATATAAACAGAAGGCTAAATACAGCCATAATTATCACAGACCAATGGATTAAAAGGAAGTTAAGAACTTAATCCTCTTAGCTATTATATTAAACTTAAAATAGTAACGCAAAAACAAGGTTGTAATTAATTCCTTCGTTATTGCATCCAGCCATCATTAAATGATACAATAAAAATTGTAATAAAGGTTTTATATGAAAAATTAATTGTAAGCTAAACTACAGGTGCACATAGATTTACTACAGGAAATCAAATGCTAACTATACAATCCATACGTAATAATGTTTTTATATGAAAAATTAATCGCAAGAAAACTACACATGCGTATAGATTTATTATAGGAAATCAATGCTGTTATACAATCCAAAACATAATAAAGTTTGCAAAAGACAAACTATAAAAACTATTTTACAAGGCAATTTTCTTACCAAAGCCTTAGGCATTGAGGGCGTTACTGGAATCAACTGTCTTGACTGCTTGATTGCCAGTTCCTCAAGCCTTTGGGTTTTCACCAACACCTACAATTGATTAGGGCTTTGTTAACTGATCATGGGCATAAAAAATATAATAATTGAAAGAATAAGAATAATGAAGTTAGATACCACAAGCAACTAACTCAACTACCTGAGGAGTAGAGCGAGCTCGGGATGGAGTCTGTGCCAATGCCTCAGCCATATTAAGAGCAGCAGCAGTACTTGACACTACAGACCCAGTAGTAACAGTTTGTTGGACCGATAGAGAGCCAGTACTGCTACTTCCAATCATCGTAGGCACCTCTGCAAGTGCAGAAGTCCATCCCTCCCCTCCAATCAAAGCTGAGCTACCAACAGGTAGACTCTGACTAGCAGTTGCAGTCAAACCAGGAGATGATACCCTCCCCACTTCAGCTATTCCCTGCTTCTCTTCAGCACCAAGTGATGGAAAATCCTTGTCAAAAACAACTTTCTGAATGCTACTACTAACATTACCCACAGAAAGTATGCCATTGCCATTATTTTGATTGGTGCTACCACCAGATTTTGTATCAACAGCAACTCTACGGGGTATAACATCACTCTGTTTCCTGGAAACCATTGAATGAGAACGCCGCAATGTATCCCTCTCCATCCTTCCAGAAAAGAGACTGGCCAATGGGTCAGAACCATCTCGATCCCAGTGATCTCCAAAAGTGGATCTATCTTTATCTCTGTCACGGTCCTTGTCACGATGACTTCTGTTGAAACTACTGTAGGCATGCTTGGCAGAACCATTTATAGAACTTCTCCGGGAATTTGAGGAGGATGACCGTTCAAGAAACACAGAACGAGAACTATCAAAATCACTAGCATTCTTTGAAGATCTATTCCTCGCATGATGAGCTACAGAAGGAGAATCTACACCACAATGTTAAGACAGTTATTAAATTTTCCACCTTTTATACAAGGAAAACAAAGTTGTAAACCTAAAATAAATACCAAACATCTGCTTTTTCTCACAAAAGATTCTTAAATGAGAGAACATGACATTTTGAATATGCAAATAATTCAGACAGAACAACAAAATTACCAGTATGAGTAGAAGAGGAAGCAGAATGTTGGGCTGAACCGCCAGCCCCAGCAACACTTCCAGCACTTCTCAACCATTCTGGAACTAACGCAGGTTCACTTTTTTCCATAACTAACACTGAACATCATCAGAATTAACAAGAAAAAATGTGTCCACCTCTCCACCACCTCCACCCTCAAAATAGTACTGCTCTAACTCTCACTATCACACTTGTTTCATATAGTATGGAAAACTACCTGCTCTAACTAGCACCACTCATCACTCTTCTAGCTACCCAAACTAATAATGAACAACCTGCCTTCGCTTAAAACCGTTCCAGATGGAAAGAAATAGCACCACCTCCACGGCAAAATTCAATTGCTCCACAATTCACTATCCTCCAACAGTTATTATAAAAATCATCCAACCAAACAACTGTTGAATCCACAGAGCTATGACAAATTCTGTGTCAAGAAAATTTCTTTTTCCCTAACAAGAAATCTGTGTCAAGAAACACAAGACAATGTTGCGAGCTTCTCTAAGCTACAACTCCATCTTCAACCAAAACATGGATTTGCAGACCACTATAAGCCACTCACAGAATTCAGGAAAAAAAATGGAAAAATCGAAGCACAACTACGGCAACAATGGTTGAACTCAATGCATTGCACACCTATCCATAGCAACAAATTTTAAAAAATATTAATAAATTTAAATAATTAAAGCCCTAGAGGGCTTATATTCAGGGTGGAAAGCGGAGAAAATAGGTAATGGTAAAATAGAAAACCCTAGAAGAAAACACACGGTATTGATTGACGTGTGTGGGGTATAAAAGCTCCTCCGGAACCTAGGGTTACAGAGGAAACGTCGACGTTTGATTACAAGTGCGAGATAGAAAAATAAAATAAAAAGAGGAACTAACCCTAGAGGCGAGGCAGTGATTGATTATGAGAGCGAAACGTCGACGTTTGAATAACCGCCAAGCCTTATCGCTGAATGCGAAAAATAAGAAGGAAAAGGAGGAGTTTGTTTGGGTTTGGAGTTGAAGAATGAAGGAAGAGCGAAGAGCGTAATGGAATGAAAGAAACAAAGAGTGTGTTGTGTGTGTGTGAAAGAGGAAATAGGGTTTTGTTTGTGTGGGAGAGAAGAGGAGTGCGATGTGTTTGTGTTGTGTTGTTTTGTGTTGCGTTGTGTGAAATTGAGAGGAGGCGAGAGAGACAAGGTATAAATTTCTGTTAGTTTTGGATACTCAGAAGCAAACGTATGAGTTATGACGAACACTCTCTCTCTTCCTTCTTTCTTCTATTATATAACAACAAAATCAAATTATTTTTTTGTGCGTAGCCCATTTTCTCTTCACGTTTCCTTTCTCGGCCTCCCAAATTCCTTATTGTTATTTGTTACGATTTTATTCGATTTTAAAAAACATAGCATTCAATTCAACCTTCAAGTCTTGAACCTTCTTCGAACCGTTGGATTTTTTATTTTTGTCAGTTTTTCGTAATCTTTTTTTATTTTATTTGCGATATTTTTTCGCTATTGATTCTTGACCATAACCACCGGCGTGGCATCCAAGCCTGGCGGTTCCCCATTCCGTTACACTATTGCATGGATAGGAAGAGAGTTTCCTAAAAACGAGCTTCTCTAGATATATTATGATACATTTTACTAATTGATAATGATTCTATATATTTTTTATTTGTTTAAATTACAATTAAACTCATTCAAAAAGGTTATTTTTGAATGGATTAATCCTTTTTAAATTCTCTTGTTGAAATTTTTTTAATTTGTCAAATTCAGTTGCATGGTTTTTATATTTTTAAAGAAAGTTATATAATAGTATCATTTCCATTATTTTTCTTTATATTTAACCGATCATTATAAATTACGTAACTTTCCTGCGGAATTGACAAAAAAAATTTCGTCACATACTGCTTGGTTTGGATATCAAAAAATTATTCAGTATCTTTAAAATATGTATATCGTTTCTTTTCAAATTGAGCGTAGAATATCTTTTCTCATGTATAAGATTTAATCGGTAATCAAATTTTATTTAAAAAAATTAAATATACATAAATTATTTAAAATAAGTTTATATAGATAATTTTTTGAATTATTGTAACTAAATTATATATATATATGAACTTAATTTTGATTCAAATTTATATAAAATCTTCAAATAGATAGGACTTGTTAGATCTGTTTTAGCTTTACTTACCAAAAAGATTTGTTTTAGTTTTCTCTTTTTTTAAATTTATTTAATAAAATAATTTTAGAAATAGATTTTTCAGAAAGAAGAAAAATATTAGATGGTCAAATATTTTTTTTTAAATTATCGTACAAAAAATAATTTAAAAATATTGCCTTTTTTTTTTCAACTTCCTCACACCATTATTGCACTATACTTACTTCATCGTTTCAAAAAAAATTGTTTTTTCTTTTAAAACAATATAATTTTTTTTCAGATTTTAAAAATAAAATTTTAAAACTCATTTCTAAAAACTAAACAAGAAGGGAAAAAATTACATAGATCAAACAATTTGAAAAATGTTATTATTTTCAACTTCCTCACACCATTATTCCACTAAACTCACTTCACCTTTAAAAAAATGTTTTATCTTTTAAAATAACATTAACCTTTTTAGTTTTTCAGTTTTTTAAAACAGAAATTTAAAACTTACTTTTAAAACACTAAACAAAAAATAATTTTATCAAATAATTTTTTATATTTAAAATAAAACATTAAAAATAAATTTTAAACAATCACTCATAATCTTTAATTAGAATATATTTGAAACTAATTTCATATAAATGGATTCTCACATCATCAATCACATGGATACCTTCTTATAATCATACCAATAACTTTTTTAAAATCAAAAAGACGATTTTAGACTCAATTTTTGTTTAAATCTGTATAAAATCTTAAAATAATGAGGGTTTGTTTGGTTTTTCCTTTTGAATATAATTTTTTATTTTTAAAAATAAAAAATAAAAAACTTGTTTGTTAATATAAATTTTAAAAATTGTTTTAAAAAAATATTTTTTATTTTTTAAAACTAAAAAATAGAATTACTATATAGAGTAAGTTTTTGTTTTTCTGTTTCTCTTTCTATAACTAACAAAAATTTAAATAAAAATAGTTTTTAAATAAAAATGCAAACAAACATAACTTATTAAATAATTTTTAATTTTTTTAAATTATTTTATAAAATTATTTAAAATTTAATTTTAAAAATCAAAATTAAATTAAGAGAGTTTTTAAAAAAAATAAAAATTTATTTGTTAATAGAATTTAAAATAAGTATTTTTTTCAGTTTTTAAAATTAAAAAACAGAATTACTATTTAAAAAACTTCATCTTTAAAAAATTGTTTTATAAAATTGTTTTAAAATATAATTTTTAAAAATTAAAAATTAGAACTAAATAAAACTATTTTATATAACTGTTTTTAAAAAAATAAAATAAAATAAAATTTGTTTGATAATTTAGTTTTTAAAACTGTTTTTAGTTAGACTTTTTAGTTTTAGAAAAAAAACAGAAAAATAAAAACAAAAACACCTAAATAGTAATCTGTTTTTCAGTTTTAAGAACTGAAAATAAAAATTTATTTTTAAAAATAATTTTTAAAACTTACATTAATAAGCAAGTTTTTTTATTTTTTTATTTTAAAAATTAAAAACTCTACTTAAAAAGAGAAAACAAATAAGCTCTTATTTTTGTTTTATTTTTATGATTTTCTTTCTGTAACTAACAAAAATTTAACTAAAAATTGTTTTAAAAACTAATTTATCAAGTAATTTTTATTTTTATTTTTATTTCAATTGTGTTATAAAATTATTTTAAAATGTAATTTTAAAAAATTAAAAATCAAAATTAAATTCAAACAAGCCTAATTTCTTTTTTTTCTTTTTGGAATAATTGGCTTCTCTTTATGTTTTATTAATTTATTTTTGTATAATTTATCAAACCCTTATTAAGTGCATAAGATTTTATTCTAAATTTTAATTATTTTAACCTAGAAAAAAAATGTGTGTTTTATATAATTTCGTTTCAAATTAGAGCCAACTTTCACTTTTATACATAGGTATAATTATCCCAAAAAAAAAAATGCTTCTAGTGTATGCAATTATCACTTTTATATGTAGATTAATAAATTTCTCATATACTACGCAAGTGTCGTTAAGTTGATTGATGACTTTATAAAATTTAATTTTTTTTATAAATAAAACAAAATAGAAAAACTAACTAATCTCTAAAATTATTATATTTTAAGAATACTTTTGAATATATTTTTTATTCAAAAATTAACACTCATAAATTGTATATAGAGGTCGATAACTTAACATCAATGTGTATGCAATTGTGATGAGTGCATGATTGAGTTTTATTTACTATTTCTCTATTTTTAAAAGTAGCTCCGCTTATACAACGAGTCTGACTAATCGATAAAACGTTAAACATGTTTTATAGGTCAAAAGGCAAGTTTTATTAAAAAAAAATGTTAAAAAATACATTATAAATCATGATAGTTGTGCATTACTAGTAATTTTAATAAAGAAAAAATCTTTAACCAAATATTTATTAACATTTGTTATTGTCATCTATCATGTATAATTTAGACTATTATTATTGTAGTTGTTATTGTTGTTGTAATGGTTACGTTCATAAAAATTTAAATTCATACCGTGAATATAAAAATAAATTTTTAGGTACAATTTCGTAAGTGTAGTGTTGTTGATGTTGTTTATCAATTAAAATTAAAATTATAAAAAAAATACAGCATCGAAAATTTATCTTAAATATATATATTTTTTGGTACTCGCCCTATTGATTATAAAAGAAAGTTATGAAAAAAATAATCATACCAACTAAATAAGTAGAAATTTTATATAAATAAAGACATAAAGTATAATAAGAATTTACGAGATTTTCAAACTCAAATGTAATAAATAAATAAATTTTTAATATCACATTACGCAACTTAATGTTCAACTATTATTAATTACTTTTTATAACTATCATGCAATAATTAAAAGAGATATTTTGTAACTCCCAAAATATTAATTTATTTTTCAAAATTATTAAATTCAGTATTAACATAAATTTATTTATCAAACACTAGATAATTATATTTAATTAATAGTTTTCGTCACAATAATATTAACTTTTTACTATTAAGACAGACTTGAAATACTAAAATAATATTATTTGACAGTTTTGTTATCCTTCCTCAAACTTCTAAATTAAATTTTAGCAAGTTTCTCGCCATTACCTGTGCTTATATTGTCACTATTTTTTCAACTTTTTGTATACTAATACTAAAGATGCAAAACTTACTCCACTAACAAGAGAATTCCAAGTATGACAACAATGTTCACCTTTTCTGCGACACTATTGTTAATTGCCGTGGTGGCATCAATGAGCTCTTCAACCCGTGTACTGATGCCACCGTACGTGAATCTTCAAAAAAATGGACTTGTTGAAGTTCTAAATGCTTTTGATGTTAGTACAACAAGTCTCAAGGCTCCTCGTGGAAGAAAAGAAAGAGGTTTACTTCATGGATTTCCAACAATTTTCCTCTTTTGCTTTCTTAGATTACTCTCATTTCATTTTTATCTTATCACCCGTGAGCATAAGCATTAGAGGATCACAACCCATTCCAAGTCACTAGAAAAAACAGTAACTCATCATTTTTCTTCTTTGCCACCACTAACACAACCCTTGATAGTAGAAGCTTACTCTCTTCATCACTGACTTGCATGTTTAGCGATGATGGAGAGAAATGAGTGTTAGTAATCATCACTGTCACCACTCAATTTATCACCAAATAGAAAGAAAATTTATTAACTTTTTTAGATTTGTCCCTAAAATTGTAATCAATGTGTAAACAACATTATTTTAACATTGTAAGTGTCACTTAATATAAAGGTTAACAATATTATAAAAAAAATTATTAATTAAATTAAAGTGTCTAATATTTGATAATCTTTGAGAATTAATTGATTTTCTTTTTAATTTTAAAGACTGATCTATCCAATGGTTACGATCTCAAAAATTAACCTAAGAGCTTTATGATATAATAAATTCTTTCACATATACACATATCATTATCATACCTATGTATATATTCGCGCAAATTTTATTTTATTTTTCAATTTCATGCAAAGTTTTAAATCTTTAAATATTAAGCTATATGTATACCTATTTTACAATAAAATATGTGTATTCTATAACCTACAAACTAGTTACAAATATATTTATTAAAAAATATTGACCGGATTATGAAAATAAAATAAATATATTATTTTTTAAAAATTCTAATTATAGATTAGAATTTATTTATTTGTCACATATTTTTATAATATTTTTAAAATAAAATATCTGTTTATTACATGATTTATTAACTAGCTACAAATAACTCTAGATTTATGTATGATTATTTTTCTTAAATTTATTTATTTTAAATAAAACTCCTAAATAAAAAAATAGCTAGAAAGAAGTAGGTACTAAAATTTTAGTTTTAGATACCATAAGAATATTGGTGATTTTTTATGACATGAGATGTATTATATGATAATTATGTAGGATAAAATTGTCATTTTCAAGTGCATGTTAAAATGACTACTAGGCCAACATGTTCTTTTATCGATTTAGGTTTAGTCTTCTCAAGTAATGATTAATTTTCTTTCTCACCTGTTTGATATAATAATATTAATTTTACTTATAAGAGGAATGGTAAGAACACACTCCTTCTAATACAATTTTTTTATTGGCTAAAATTTATTAAAAATTACAATTATTATGTAAGTTTCACTCATTCTCAATCATAATTTAATTTTTTTTTCTCATATCTTTGTCATTTTCAATAAATTTTATTTAATGACAAAAAAAATTAGATTGTGTTGCTAATATTCTTCTTATTTATAATAATAAAAAATAAAATTAATATAATATTTATTCTCAATTTTATAAAAAATATATTTAAATTAATAAAGTATATAATATTTAATTCTTAAAACTATATATATATAACTCAATTTTCATTAACACAAAATATTAATTTAGACACTTACATTATTTAATAACTTTTCTTAAAATATAAGATCAACAAATCCAACAATTAATGTGCAGTGTTAGTTTAAGCAAGAGAATATTTAGACTTACCTACCGTCTATTTCACACACAATAGAACATCTCCTTCACCCATTCGATTAAGGTTTGAATTCCAACTTCCAATATATTTATTTCTCCACCACACATTTTTTATTTTGTGACCATGTCTTAAGTCCCCAAATTCTAACCTATGATGTTTCTTCTTTGGGACCAAATGAAGTGGCAAGAGCTGGTGATACTGGATGAAGTTTTCATTTTTATTTTATTTGTAGCATAATAAAAATGTATGATGTTACCTTCACTACTATTGTTAATATTATTTATGAAGGAGAATTCTTAAATAAATAGGTGATGCTTCTACTTTCAATAAAATGTTGTTGTCATTTGAATTTATTTTCATATCACATTAGATGTTTAAGATAATGAAAATTATTACAATTCTTTATCAAGCATTGCAACATATTCTCAATATATTTTAAATGTGATGCATCTCGTTTCTACTTCAAAGTCACTCCTTCAATAATTGAAAAGTGAAGAATGGTCTTATTTTGTTAAAAAATGTGAATAATATTGCCAAAGCATGAGACAAAGATTCCTGACGTTAGTAAAAGAAGTCAATCGTGTTAATCAAATGTAACTATCGAATATAATTATGGAGTGTGTATATATATATATATATATATATATATATATATACTATTGATTCTTAATTACAATAATTAAATTAAGATTTAATAATAAAACTATATAGCTTTTAATTTTGAGAACAACTTTAGATCCTAGCAAAATTATATAGTATTTAATATTGATGATATTTATAGGTTATTCAAGTACATTTATTGTAATAATCTAATAAAGTATTTTTAATATTACAATTAAAATCGCATGAGCTTGATATACCTTATCATCCAAGTTTTTAAGACATAACATTATCTAAGTTGTACAACAAATTAGTAAAAATAAAAAAGTAAACATAAATTATCACTTAATATATAAATTAGTTTGTCTTATTTTGACACTTTATGCCCTTACAACAACTATAGAGAAAGTTTTTTAGACAATAAAATTTGTTAATTCATTAGATAGGATAAAATTTTGTCCAAAATTTAAATCAAATTGGATTATAAAAAGTCCTTATTTTAAAGGCGTGAAATATTTAGTGTCCTGGCAATGTAAATTTCTTATATGATTAACTAATTAAAATATACTATGAATATACTTTTAAATTAATTATTACAAAAATTAATAATTATCATTGATACAATAATTAATAATTGGATGAGTATAATATATATATATATATATATATATATATATATAATATAGCATTGATAACACTTCATAAAATAAAAAAATTGACCAATAATAATTTTATATTATTTTTACAATCATGTATATTAAATTTTACATATTTTAGATATTTGTAGGAATATTATTAAAAATTTGATATTTACTTATATTTTAAAAATATATATTATATGTTAAAATAAAGTAATGTAATAAAATATTTATTATTTTTTATAAAATTGATTTACTTAATAAAAATTTGGTAATATTAGTATTTTTATCTTTAAATTTTAAAGTAAGTTTTGATTTTGTCCTTTTTTTTTTTTTTTTGCTACTTTAATCCTCTAACTTGTAAAAATATTTTAAATAGGTCATTTTTCATTCAAAATGTTAACCTCATTAAAAAAATTTATTGTTTTTTGTCATTATATTGTGCATGTATTAATCATTATCTTTATGATACATCTGTGTCTCTTTCATCTTTTTCTATTTTTTCTCCTTTTCATTTCTATCTTCTTAACTTATCTTTTTTTTATTTTTCTTTCTTTCATCTTCATCTTCTTATCTTGTTTTTTTTCTTATTTTTCCTCCTTCAAATGCTCATAACAATCAATACAGTTTACATGCATGGATACCTAGTTTGAGCGTAAACCTTGCTGCATCAAAATGACTTATTGGAACTTCAACATTCTCTTAAAATAAATGATTTGAACATTTTTTATATTATTTTTTTAATATTAAATATTTCAAAGTTGTTTAATTTTTCGTATGGAGTAGAGGAGGAGGAGAGAATTTTTATAAGAGAATTATTGAAGATGCAAATAAGATTGTGACAAAAGTGGTGAAAGTGACAAAGGCAGAAATACTTACCATAATAATGATGGTTACGATATGCTCTTAGAAAAATGAAAAAAAAAAAATATAAAAAATAAGAAAAATGAAGAAATAGATGAGACAGTTGAAGATTTGAGGAAGATAATAAACATTACTTGCATAGTATATACGACAAAAAATGATAATTTTTTATTAAAATTAATATTTTTAGCAGAACAAAATTTGAAATATTTTTATAAATTAAAGAACTAAAATAAAAAATAAATAAATTAAAAATAAAATTAAAACTTATCTGAAAGTTAAAAAATAATAACACTTATTTTATCTAAAAATTTTAAGATTATTAATTAAATTATTTAATATTGTATATTTATGAAGACGTTTTAAATTATATAAACACCTAAGTTTGATATCTAATATTAATGGATTTTAATATATATATATATATATATATATTAATATATTACTAAAAATATTCAAACATCAATGTGTCCTAATTTTTAAATTAAGTTATTTTTAATAGTAAAATTTTAACTGTAGCTTTCTATTTAATAAAATTATATAATATACATTTATTTTTAAAATCTCATTTAATTTAATAACATATTTATAATGAGAACTCATTAAATTGTTTTAATATAGAATTTAAGAGTCTTAGTTTTTAAACAAAAATATTTTTAACCATCAATTTTATTTCTATTTTTTTTAATTCAATCATAATTGAATTTTATATTTTAATTTTATTTGTTAAAATTGATTTAATTATAAAATATATTTGAAATTTTTATTTAAATGTAATAATAATAATAATAATAATAATTGTACAATACATTAAAAAAAAGCATGCTAGTTCATGAAAAAAATACGAGTTACATAATTAATACGACTAAACTATCTAAACAGAGTAACAATTAACAAAGTTGAAGTTGTGAGAAATGGAAAAAGAAAAAGAAATCCAGCTGGACAATCTGAGTCATTTGTAGGTGGTCCAAGTGGCACCGCGTTTTCCGACACTTTTTCCATAGGAGGCGTTTACCAGCTCTTACGCAGTCTTTCTTCATTCGTTTTTTTTTTCAACTCCCTTGCCCTCTCCCTCTCCTCTCCAAGCTTCTATTCTACACTCTCAAACCAAAGCAAAACCACAACAACACAAACACAAACCCGCGTCTTCCAAATCCGACGCCGCTTTTAGATGGATATTGTTAACCATGAATCACCTACCTCGAATATTCGCCCATAGAAACCAATCCCCGAAGAGCACCATGGATCCCAAGACCAAGACGCGAAGAAAACAACCCAAGCTAGAGCGTCGAAACGCTGCCAAACACTTCGAATACGACGCTGGATCGTCGTCGTCTACGTCGTCACACGACTCGTCGTTGCTCTACACGCGATCCATGGACTTCTACGATCGAACCAGCTTCCGAATCGAAGGTGTGGAGGGCGAGTTCGACCGGATTTGCCAGAGCCTCGGGCTCTCCGGCCTGGAGGACTTCACCATTCCGGCGGCGGCGTGGGAGGCCATGAAGGTTCGGTCCTCGTCCGACATCTTGCCGCGGCTGAAGCACGGCGATTTCGACGGAGAAGTGAAGGAGAAGGAGGAAGTTGGAGTGACGGAGTGTGAGGTTGAGGCTAGGGTTCCGGTTAGGGGTTTTGATGAGTGTGTTCCGGCGGAGACTAGTGGTTGTTGCAACGGTGGCGGTGGGATTAAGGGTTTTCGGCCTCCGATGCTTAAGCCGCCGCCGGGGATTAGGGTTTCGGTGGTGGATAGCACGTGTTCCACGTGGGATTTGTTGAGGGATTTTGCTCCGAAAGGGGAAGGAGGGAAGGGGAGTTACGTGGAGTTGGGTGGTTCGGATGATGGTGGACGAGAAGAGAAGGAAGAGGAAGAGAAAGAAGAAGAAGAAGAAGAAGAAGAGGAGGAGGAGGAGGAGGAAAATGCGGCGAGGTATGCAGAGATTGTTGGTGAGTTTTCGGGGTCGTGTTCGTTTACTACGTCGAATGAAGATGATTCTTCTAGTACTACTACGGATCCCAGGTCCAATAATATATCTCCAAATGGGAGGATCAAGCGTGTTATTACTCCTGGTAACTGGCAGAAGGGCCATCTTTTGGGGCGTGGTTCGTTTGGTTCTGTCTATGAAGGGATTTCTGAGTAAGTGATGCTTTCATCCTGTTCACTTCACTTGTTATTTTTTTCTTTCTATTATTAGCATTATTAATAACCCTTCTTGTGTCTTTACTTTTTGATTGTGTGGTGTTTTTGGTTTCCTATAATGGGAGAAGTTTGTTAGGATTGGGATTCGGATCCCATGTGTGTTAGGGAATAGCATGACAATTTTGTGTTTTGAGAAATGAAGGCCCAAAAGCCATTACAGTAGGGCTTATCATTTTTTGTGCAGGGTCTGTCCGTCAATATTATTCTTATGTCTTTCTCTCTCATATGTCATGTATGAGGGGATTTATTAAATCCTTAGTATAGGATAGGATACTGTGGTATTGAATGTCAGTGTCGGGAAATTGGGAGGGCTAGTTTAAGAGTTTTGCTGGAGAAACGGATCCTCTGCAATTTACAAGAAACTGCAGCTCGCAGTTTAGCGAATTTAGATTTGATTAAGCGAAAATGATGCTGTCCCTCTCTTCTCTCTCAATCCCTCTCCGTTCTCCCTCTCTTCTCTTCTCTCTCAACCGGCCAATGTTCGTTGAACTAATTATGCTACTTTTGCAGTTTGTCTACTGAAGCAAAACTGAGGTTGTTGGGAAAATATTTTGAACGTTAAATAATATGATCAATCCTTTTATTTCCTTTTAAAATAGTGTAATTTTGGATAGAGTAGGAGCACAAGGGCTTCTGAACTCGTTAGTACTTTTGGTCAATAATCTGCTGACAGAGTATGATGAGTGCCTTCCTTTGTTTCAACTTTCATGTGTTGGGCTTATGCCTTTGCATACTGGGTTGTTTGTTTTGTTCATAATACAAAAATCCTAGATTTGAAGGGAATGATCTTGCTATAAGTTATAACTTTTTTCTTTGCCAAATATTCTGGATTCTTTATATTTGATGGTTCTTTATGGGTTTTGGTTTTCCTTTAGTATGCAGCCTGTGAATTGGCCTATTGGAGGTTTTGGTCAAACTGTTACTAGATTTAATTCCCTGGCGCAGCTATATATAATTAATTTTATTTATGTAATTAATAATAAAATTTTATAGAAATATAATTTTATTGTTAATTAATTTTTAAAAATATATTTTATTAATAAATTATAAATTCAATAAAAAATTTATTGATAGGATAAAATATTTTTAATATTATTATCTAGTTACAAATTATCATATTAGCAAATGATTGGTTTTTATAATAATTATTTAAAAATTGTATCTATTATATGTTCTAATTCATTGATAGTGTAGAAAAATTTATATCGATAATACATCAAAATTATACTCACAAATTATTTGATATTTGATTCTTAAAATGGTCATAAAGTTAACTCTATAATATAAAAATGCATTAACTATAAATGAAATAAATATATTTAAAATATTTAAAGGACTATCTTCTCTCTTGCATAAAAATTTAAAATAAAAAAAGTTTATCTTATGTTTAAAGAAATATATAATAAAATTTTTTGATTATTGATTTAATAATTTTTTTTATATTATAGTAAAATCTTTAATTATTTAATCATTAATAATATTTTATTGTTATATTTTAATATTATATTTATATTGTGATGTTATATTTAAACGTATGATAATTGAATATTATATATTTTAGTTGAAGAGAGAGAGAAGTACGAAGAAGTGGACCAAATAGTAGTCATTCAAGATTGGAGATAAAAGCTTGCTTTTATATATGTATAGAATATAGATGAGCCTGTGACTGCTAAAAATGTATATGTTCTGCTGCTCGACCTGATTGGGAAATGCATTCAAGCATTATATGAGTAATCTTCTGTTGTTCATTTGGCCACTTAGTGAAATAGTCATCTAATATTTTTCGTTTGATGTTTGAACCTATTATGGTGCTTTTTCTCAAGTGCTAACTACTGGTGTTTTTTTTTTTTTTTTTTGGTTAATTATTTTATATCTTCTACCACTATAGAGATGGATTCTTTTTTGCTGTAAAAGAAGTTTCACTGCTTGATCAAGGGAATCAGGGAAAGCAAAGTGTATATCAACTGGAACAGGTGAGACATGATTGCTCTTTCTAATTGCTTTGTAATTTCTTCATATTTTACTTTTCATTCATGAAGACCCTTTAATGAAAAGAGAAGGCTATCTTACCTAAATAATATGCTGTCTTTTGCAGTATCTTATAATTTTTTTAAAGTTGAATAATTCTGTCAATCTATTTACCTTATCCTTAATACTCTTCCCTCTATATTTCTTTCTCTCACTGTGATTCTTCCTCCCTCTCAGGAAATTGCTCTTTTGAGTCAGTTTGAACATGAGAATATAGTTCAATACTTTGGCACTGAAATGGTACTTTTCTTCTTTGCCCTTTTATGTTCAATTGATTTTTTCTTGTTTACAATCCATGTGGAAAGTTTCCATCTCTAATCGTGTTAAACGTAATTGGTTCTCATAAATCAAAAACATGTTAATAGATGCTTTCAGTATGGTACTGGTAGACAACTTGTAGGTTGAGTCAGGAGTCAGTATTAGAATATGTGCTTGACAGTGCCTACCCTTCTGAATGGAAAATGAGTGTATTTGCTTGACATTTTATATTTAGTTGATATCATTGTAGGCCATAAAATGTAGTCTGATGTCACAGAGGATACACAAAACTGCAAATGTAACTAAGAATGGGAAAAATCAGACCACCTCAGAGTCAGGAACTAAATCATTTTTGTAATATTATGGACTTCCCCGATGATAAAATTAAGATCATTCTAAACTTTTTATTCTGGGTGAGAGAGTTTTATCATCTAATATTTTTGGATCCAACTTAGTACCGTATGTAATTCAAAGTGAGATTACTTTTCCTGCATTTTGTTCAACTGCCAGGGTGTTTTGTGCACGAGTGCAATACAGAGTGATAAATAACTGAACATAATGTGGAGTTTGAGGTAGGTACTGGTTTTCAATTTTAAATTGTTAGCATACAAATTAGGAACCAACATGGGTTTTGTGTTGCTGGTCAAAACTTTGTATAATTTAGGATTTTATCAATTATTTTCATTAGTTATGCTGCAATAGTATGGCTCTATTTAGATTTTGTCAGCTACAAACAAGTTTAGCTTCTCTTGCTCTATTGGTTTTGTATAGCTTGTAATTTCATCCTATAACTTAAACTTACATTCTGCATGTTGTTTATTGCAGGATGAATCAAATCTGTATATCTTTCTTGAGTTTGTAACCAAAGGTTCCCTTCGAGACCTCTACCAGATATATAATCTTCGAGATTCTCAAGTATCTGCCTATACAAGACAGATTTTACATGGTTTAAAATATCTTCATGATCGAAATATTGTTCACAGGTGATCAATTTATTTATTTAGTTAATCTTGCTTTTCTTTGTGCCATAGACCACTTTTGGTTTTCGAGTAGTCTCAGACAAGAGTCATGTCTATGGTTCTTGCTCTCCTTGCATAAAAGAAACTTTCATTTTCTGTCTCATAATTGCAATCAAATTATCCTTTGAAAGTAAATTTTTTAGTGTGTTACTTTTTCTTCTTGTTATTAGAGTGTTGTTTTGGGCAAAAATTTCTTCATTTTCATTGCATGGAGTGCATTTTACATGTTTTTAAGGATGTGAATGGACTCTCTTGTGAAATTTTCACGACCTTGTCACGTCAAATTGTGTCATGTCTCTGGATATACATTAAATAGGTGAAGTGTGCTCAAAATTTGTAAAATAATATTGAGAGAGAGAGGGAGCAAAATTTTCACATGACAAGGTCTTGCAAAAATTTGCATGTGAGGATCCATTCTCTGTGGGACTGTGAACAGGTCCATATATTGGAGAGTAGTAGAGAGGAGTGGAAAGAAGAAAAGTATACAGGAAGAAAGGGATTTCTCAGCCAATTATTGTCCTTGCTATCCTTTTCTTGCCCCAAACAAAAACCTTTTAACGGTAATCAATACATATCCTAGTATTTGTATTGTGTAGGGCAGAATGTTATCAATGACGAATGGCAGCTCATGGCGGAAACCAAAAAAATTGCTATAAAATTATGGTGGCTGCTACGGCAGATTATAGCAGATTTATGGTAGATATAATAAAACATATAAAAAATAATATAGGTCACAGATTTAATATAAATGCTCAAGAAATTCTCAAGACTGCATCATCATCATTCCAAGTAACAGTGTAAAAGAGAAACATTGCAGCATGGATGTTATATTAAACAAGAAATGCTAAACAGAGCTTGAACAGCAAAAGAGAGTATGAATAGCAAAACAGAAAGCAAGAATGATCATTGAATAGTAAAATAGAGCTCAAACAGAAAAGCAAAATAGATGCTGGAAAAGCTGATTTCTCCGTCAAACAGAAAAGCAGATGTTGCCAAAAAAACTGATTTTTCCGGCGAAATGAAGTGGGTGGGTTGGTGAGGATGGGAGAAACTGCTATGTTGAGGTTTCAACTTTTCGTGCAGAGAGGAAGAGTGTGGAGGAAGATGAAATATATGTTTTATCAAGGGTAAATGACCTTTCTACCCTTAAAAATAATCAAAACAGTGCATTTTAAAAAAAACAGAAAAGGGTTCCTTTCCCCAGAACAACCCGAGCAGTCCAGCAGAACAGAAGAGAGAGAGATCTTAGGGGAGAGAGAGAGAGAGATCAGCAGAGAGCAGAGAGAGAGAGAGTGAGATCGTGGGGAGAAGAGACGAAAAAAACCTTTAACTTTAGGGTTGGGTTGTCTGGACTGGGTCAGGTTGCTGGCCAAATTTACAAAAACAAAAAAAAAAAACCCATTTTCTACCAAAAACGCCCTATTTCCGCCATGGCCGCCGTTTCTGCCATGGCATAACGGCTACCATGGTGCCGCCACAAAATCCGACACACCACGCCATACCTCTAATGGGATGCATCAAAACCGCCACACCATGGACTAAGATATTGTTGAATGTGGATTTTCTTAGAAGAGAAAATAGTTTTTGTTAACATTGGACTAAGATAAGCTTAAAAGGTTGAATGGTTCACCAAATCCAGAAGGATAGTTGAGAATGAACCCTAGGAAAAAAAGTATTTAAGCTCCAGATGTTGAGTATGATGAACAGTTCCTTTTGGCTTTGGATCTTGAGCTACATAAACCATACATTTCACATGAGGGTTTTGATGTTGGAAATTTTAGTAGCTAGAGAACTTTTTTTGGCTTGTGCAACGAGCTTGTAATTTCTGTAACAAATTGTTTTCTGTATTCCTGCCTGCATTACAGGGATATTAAATGTGCAAATATTTTGGTGGATGCAAATGGATCTGTTAAGCTTGCAGATTTTGGATTGGCAAAGGTGACCTTTCTTTGTCTATGCCCCTCTTTCTTTTGTTTCTGTCAAAATTTTATAATTGTTTACCTTTTCTGCTTCCTGATAATGCTTTATATCTATTTTTTTCAGGCGACCAAATTGAATGATGTTAAATCATGCAAAGGAACAGCATACTGGATGGCCCCAGAGGTTTGCTTTCAGTTTTATCTTCTGAATAGAATTATTGAATTATGAGTTAACATATTTCTTAATGGAGTAGACAGTTGTTTCTCACTTCTTGTAATTTCTTTAACAGTCAATAATTAAGTTTGTTGATCCATGGTTTTAGCTTGATTTTATGCTTTTCTTCAGCCATGGACATATTAAATGAAATTAAATTGTCATACATTTATAAACTGTGCTCTAAATGCTTGCTTGCTCATCTGTGAAGTTATTGGGCATCCCACCTTGAATCGATGGTTCTTATGGAAATCCTACCATACAAAATCAATTATGTAACATTGGGTATATTTTGTAATATGGTTATTAGAAAAGCTGAAAAATGAAACTTTGGAGGGGTGCATGGACCCGAGATGTAATATAATATGACAGTGCCCAACTTGAGGATCAGAGGAATGGCTCTAAAGTTTGGAGAGTCTATACTAGGAGAATAAGAAAGTGGAATAGGAAGGGAGCACGTGATGTATTATGTTTGCCTATTTTTTCTGCATGATTGTTATACCTGAAACTGGTGGGAATTAGTTATAGAGGGGACGGGGGAGGTGTGGAAGGAAAGCGCACCTCTTGGCATTTTCATTGTTTTCCTCTTTCTGCTTAGGCTCAGGCAGATAGTTTCTTCTCTATGAAACACTTGCTCTGTGAGGGGAGGCTATAGTATTGCGGTAGTTCTCTCTTATTTCTCTTTTTCAAATAATACAAGTTACACTTTTCTGTTACTTGGTTTCTATTATTGCTCCGACCTGCTGAATACCTTGGTCTCCAAAGTAGATGCCAAGGAAGCCAGGGTTTCTTCAGCTCTTGAAACTAAATTTCAAGAGTTGCAACATTCTGTAACTGTGTTGCAGAACACTAATTCAAAAGGCTGGCTGTAAAAGCCATGGTAGAGGCCAAAGTGACAGGAGAACATATAACTCTGCTGAAGTGAAACAGTGGATGTGATGTAGCTTAGGGAGGATTGCTGTTGGCACAGATGACAATGACACCTTGGGAACTTCTTGATTTATGGGGTTGGTTAACCTTTGAATGGTGGTAAACAAGGTGCAATCACTTTTGTGCAATGGAACAGATCTGCATGGGTGGTTGACTTGAGCTGAAACTTACTTTCAGGTTTTGAATACTCACCGAGTTAAGAGTCTGAGTGGTCTGGTGTTCATGGAAAGTCATGCAGTGCACTGGTTTGCTTTACATTGGGAGGCAGATCTTGGGCTTTCATGGGAAAAACTAAAGGATGCTCTCTACGAGCATTTCAGAGATTTGAACATGCAGAACCCCTATGCACGTTTAGCAGTGCTGAATGCTGATGCAGCAGACTCAGCGGCTGGGAGTGCAGAGATGTTTGAATGCTTGGCTTCTCAGGTTCCAAGGCTACCTGAATAGCAGGCCATTGGTTATTTTTGTATACACATGTTGAAACTTGAAATAAGATGCTGATTAAGAATTCATCAACCTGATGGGATTGATAAGGTGGTTGTGCTTGCCATGGTAGTCAAAGTTGTGATTATACTTGTAAGATCATATGAACTTACAATTTTCTTCATGCTGAGCGATACCAATCCTAGGGTTTGACAATTTTGTAAGATCGTTGGGTTCACACAATCATACTTGTAAAATCATGCTGAAAATGAACCTGATTTAAAAAAAAACAAACTTTTTTGATAACCAATACCCAAATGTCTTGGTTATTTTTCTGCTCTTTTTCCTTCAAATCTGCATGCGAGCGCAACTAGGTCGGTACTGGGTTCTCTTCTCTGCCTCTGTTTCTTCAGTGCTGGTTAGCTGCACCTGCAAGTTGGACTTGCACTTGGGTGTTGGTTGTTGTGCCTATGAGTTTGTCTTGCAATTGGGTACTGGTTGTTGGTTGTCACTTGTTTCATCTTCTCTGTTCAACAGCGCATCAAGCTGTTTGAATACCAGGCTCTCTCTTCTCTTTTCTCACTTGTATTTGATTCCTTTTTGTTTTGTATTCTGCATCTTTGTATCTGATTTTTTTTAGTTTCATGTTTCTGGTCCTTTTATTTTTGGGCCAGCAATTTGTCTACATTTTGCAAGGTGTGGGTGAGGCTGTGTAAGCTTAGACATAGTTATTGTAAAAAAATGCTCCTTTTTTTGTATGAAAATTTATATTATTTAAATAAGTAAAAGTCCATCTTTTTATAGGTTATAATTTTCGTGGATTGTGACATATATTTATAATTAAGTTCTGTTAGATGTATTTATGATTTTAAGGTTACTTTTCTTATTTATGGCATTTTATATGTGTATATATTTATTTAAATATAATTTTATATTTGCAGCAAGATCTTACATTCCATGTTACGATCTTCCGATTTACATGTTTCTCTCTCCCTTAGATCTCAAATTTAACTACCTTATTTAAAACTACTGTTGGACAGTGAAACAGAATAAGCTAGACCCCCAGTTCTATTTGTGCTCAAACCTATTGTAACTATATTCTTACTACCAATAGCCCTCATCCTGTCATCTCTCCATATATGGTACACTACATCTTTAGCAAGCACCAAGATAGTTAAACTTGAAATCCTACTTAGGATTGGAGAGGTTAGGAAAATACATAAATCGTGTAATCATGGATCATAAGATCCTTCAAAAAATGCAAAATGATAATTGAATTCATATATCTGCGTAAAAATTAATAAAAATTAGGCAAAATAACCTTAAATTACTAACAGCCACAAACTTATAAGTCAACAATTCCAAATTCAAAAACCCTGCCAGCAGAATCATCCTAGCTGTTTCCAACTCTAGCAGTGCCTGAACTCATTACCCTCCCTAGCAGCTTCTTTCCCACTTAAAGACATTTATATATAGCTAAATGGATTAGATGGGTGTAACTTAGCAGAGATCAGAAACTTGAATCCAAGGTTCCAAATAGTGTAGCCACTGAACAAAAGCATGGAGTGGTCGAACACACAAGAAAACAAACCAAGTGTACAACCCAGAAGCAAAGGAACTGAATAGTGCCAAATCCAGATGTATAGAAACCAAGGAGGGGTTCAGAACTTGTGTGAGCATAAGAGCAAAAACAAAAAAAAAAAAACAATGTAGAAAAGTGCTAAAATGAATGAGTTAAAGTTTAATCTAATGGATCAACTAAAAATGTGTCAGATCTGTTGGTTTGTTTCAAAAGAAATGGGTTTGAGTAGGATTGGAAAAATTGTTCGATCTTATGATTCTACTGATCTTATCTAAATGAGTTGAGAGTATGATTGGGATTGTTGTGGCATGAGAAAAATGTAAAATCATATGATTGTATGTGTAAAAATGCAATTTTAACTACCATGAGTGGAAGACTAGTCCTAGGGGATGGCAATGATAGGGCCCAACTTTTGGATGAGGGAAGTGGGCATAATGTTTGGAGAGTCTACACTAGGAGAAATAAGATAGTAAATTAAGAAGGGAGCACATGAATTCTTATTCTATTATGTTTTCCTTTTTTCTTCATAATTGTTATTATCGAAAAAGGGCAGGGATTAGTTATAAATGGGAGGGGCAGAAGGGGAGGACACCTCTTGGCATTCTCATTGTTTTTCTCTTTTGGCTTAGGTTTAGGCAGAGTTTCTTCTCTGGTGTATTTGGTCTGTGAGGATAGTCTTGCTGTAATTGTCTCTTTTTTCTCTGTATTTGTATTCTGTTCCTTGGTTTCTGTTGCATGCAGTGTTCTCACAGAGTAAAGCATAATTACAAGTTTCTGCATTTGATTGAGTAGCATAATTATTGTACTGAACACCTTTTCTCTTTTTCATATATCCAATTTATTCACCCTAAATCTTGATCAATGTAATAAATTGATGGATATGATTAGTGATGGTGGTGTGCAGCTTGAATATTAAAAAATTATTACACAAGGGAATTGTACAAAATTACAAATACATAGAGGAAAGTAGGGAAATTAATGATAAATTGATTTCAATGATGACCTATCTAAAGATACTAGGTAAACATATAGAAGAATAAAATGAAAGAATACGTGATTACAATTAATCCCAATAACAGTAGTATCCTTATTTTTAAGAATTCATTAATTTCATGAATGAAAATAAACATCCCTTTGCCTTACTAGAAACCTTGAACCTGCTGCTGGGCCTCATCAGTCTCCATAGCACACCCAAAAAGTACAAAGAAAAAAATTTGCAATTGTAAAATGAAAATCCATATTTTGAGATATACATTCTGATTTCTTAATGGTATAGCTAGTGGTAATTTCTTAGTAAGCTTTACTGCTCTAATGTGCAGGTTGTAAAAGGAAAAAATAAAGGTTACGGGCTTCCGGCTGATATTTGGAGTCTGGGATGCACTGTGTTGGAGATGCTAACGGGCAAAATTCCATATTCTCATTTGGAATGTGTATGTATCATATTCTTTCTACATGCACACATTACCATTCTTATGATCAGGGTGTTCAAATAACCTAACTATGATTCTCCATTTTTCCACGTGTTCCCACTTGTCTCGTCTGTAGGGATTTTCAGTTTTTGCAATTTTACTTCTCATTTTAATTCCAATCTCTCTCTATCTGTGTGGGGGTGGGGGTTGCATGTCTCCTATTTTGACTTTTGAGCTTCAATGTATCTCTTTGGAAAACAGATGCAGGCATTGTTTAGAATTGGAAGAGGTGAGCCACCGCCTGTGCCAGATTCTCTTTCAAGAGATGCACGGGATTTTATACTGCAGTGTCTCAAAGTTAATCCAGATGAACGTTCCACTGCTGCTCAACTCTTAAACCATACCTTTGTCCAAAGGCCACTTTCCCAGTCATCTGGCTCTGCATCTCCTTATATCCGAAGGGGTTAAACTTGTCATCTCCAACAATGAAACATAATGAAGGTAAATATTGTTACATTCTATCTCATTTTATCATGAAACCTGACATCATATTGAAAACTATATTGTCTTGGTTGTATATCCTGTCAATAATTTTCATTCATAACCCAATACATATTTGGGATGGAGACAAAATTTAGGATGCTGAAATGGTAATTTCAGATTTCAGTAGTATTTGACGGACATCAATTTTCTGAAATAAGAGGAGGAAGAGGAGCAAAACCTTTCAAACCTCTTTCTTGTTGTAATGGAAAAATTGCATTTGTGCATATTGATGTTGCAGTATGGTTTGATTTTTTATCTTCACTGCCTTATTTTATTCTTTTGCTTTTGATGACAGATCTGTCATACATTGGGTTTAAAATATCTCCAATGTTTAGTCTTCAAGTTGCTCAAGTTGGTTTGGAGTGCATTGTTGGTCGCATTGTACCGTCAGATTTCAGAGTTTCCTTGCATGTAACTTATCAATTTTTTAAGCACTTGCTTTGGATCACAATTGATATGGCACTCCAGAGAGTAACTTACCCTTGGGCTTGAATATCTAATTACTTGGTGATGATTTGTTTGTCGTAGCTAGCTAAAAGCCTAAAATATCAACGTCAATCTCGTAACAGGTTGTCCGGGTCTTCCCCTTTTATTTGTTTAGCCAGTGAGAGAATTTATAGGCTAAACCTCCGAGAGCAGTAGTAAGGATTGAACACCATGCTATTATTTGTACATATTACTTTCATTAACAAGCAATTGTTTTACATCTTTATTCCCGAACTTAATCTCACTTCATCTTTTGTTTGGTTTTTTTACTTTCTTCACGTTTAATATTTTGTTGTTTATTTAAATTTTTTACAAGAAATGTAATGAATCGGTGTTTTTTTTTTTTTTTTAATTATTATTATTATTGTTTTCTGTCATTGGTGGCACAGACTGATTAACTGCTAGTGTGGAATATACAAGGACAGATATTTTTATCTGTAATAAACCCCAATCTATTGGATATTTACAACCCAACTCAAGCTAAATTGTAAAAGGAAATAAGTTTACTCAATAATGTTTGCTTGATAGTTATTTTCAGTCAACATGTTTGATTAATACTTAAATATGGCTCTTACAAAACCGAAGTGTACGACAGAAAACAAGCTTTTGAATACGATGTACGTTCTTGCCGAACTTCTTCATTGGGTCCAGCCGTACATTTTTTCTCTATAGGGATTGATAAACAAAAGAATTTCTTCGTAAAGGGCCAAGGGCCAGTGAATATATCATGACTGCAACTGTATGGTGAGCCAAATGGTAATTTAGACTTGTGTGAAAGTTTAGAATTGTGACACGTTAAATATTTTTTTTTAAGCTTTTGAAGAAAATTTATGAAATAGGTTAAATTCTGCAAGTTCAAGTTAAAAAGAATATGCTAAATAAAGACAAATTTTTTACTTGATTAAAATACTTCTTAATAAGCACTGAATGTGTTGAAATGTGGATTAACATCTTTTAAGTCTTCTAAGATATATATTGAAATCTGTATATTATGCAAAAAATTTAAGAAAGAGCAGAAAATATATTTTTGAATGGAACGAAAGATATATACTATCTATCAAGTAATTTTTTTTAAATATTATTGGTAAGGCTGGATTTTCTTATAATTTTCATTGAATTTAATTTGATTCTGAATTTTTACAATCTTAAAATGTATTATATAATTTGATATCCTAAAAGATATTATCATAACGATAAAAAAAATGATAATTTAAAAAAAAAATAAATTTATTTATCAATGTCTATAGTATAAATTCTCAAATGAAGCTAGGACTTTTCTCAAATTATAAAACTTTTTGAAGTTAATTCTATTTGTTATTACATCAAGTGATTTTTTTATATTAAGCATTTATTTTAATTTAATATAATAGAATATTTATTATAATAAATTTAAAAATTATTTTTATTTAATAATACTCACAAAGTGCATTATAAACTCACTACTTTGTATAAATACAATTAATTAAAAGTGCAAATATAGGTAAAGAGAAAGAAACTGAGTCTGCTATATTTATACTAATATTAGCCTATTTTTAATTTTAAATAAATTGAAACCATGTTTTTTTCTTTTTAATTTAATTTAATTTATTTACATAAATTATATGTAGTATTCAATATATAGTAAAAAAAAAAATACAAATAGTATGATAAAATAATATATTTTAAATAATTTTATATATTTTTTACACTTTAAAATTTCTATAAATCCATGTTGAAGTTTTCTTTAATTATTTTGTAGTCTACACATTTATAAAATGCTTTTGACTTTAATCTTATTTAATGATTTATTTTAATAACAAATATTTAGTTAATGTAAGTTTGAAAATTATACACTAAACTTACAATATTATCGATAGTAAATTATAAATTTCAATATTATTTATTAGTATATTTGTGATAATTTATAAAAAAAGGTAACTTTTGTCACTATTATTTCTTAGTAAATTATAACATTTTGTCACTATTAGTGATGAAATAAAAATTAGTCATAAATATTTTATATTTAATGAAAAAAAATTTGTTACTAAATTTTAGTCCTTAAAGATTATATATATTTTCTAAAATATATAATAATGTTAGTAAACTAGTAAATCAAACTTGTATAATATCCAGTAAACAATTTGATAGTGAGCTATTACTTAAATAGTAAGATTAGAGTGTAAGATGATTAATTTTTATAATCATAATATTAAGATTAATGTGCAAATAGACGGATGATTGAATCTTATATATAATCAATCTTTACATCGACATAAATTAAGAATAATAATATATTAGACTAATTTACTACGAAAATGTTACATGAATTTTTATGAGTATAACAATTCTTAATGTGAATGATATACATTATCTTTTGACCTAAAATTGTTATGATCAATGTGTGTAGAGCTCTATATTTTAGGTCCATCAAATGTAATCAAATTATAGTAATACTTAGGATTAAAGATAGAGTAAATTACATTAAAAAAATGCAATTTTGATAAGATAGATTATTTGTGATGAGAATCAAGGAAGGCCCATTGAAGACAAAGACTTGAAGGCATTGGAAGAGTTTCAAGGACCAATGACAAGGGCAAGGGCAAAAAGAATAAATGAAGACTTAGAAAAGATTGTTGCTGTCTTATTTGAAAGGGAGCTCAATTTAGAGTTAGAAAAGCCCAAGATAATCAATTACATATGCTTAGAGAATTTGAACTCTAACGAGTTTTATTAGGATTTAATTATTATGTTTAGTTTATTTATTTTAATATTAGTCATTACTTATTTGAGTTTTTATTTAGGATAAGATCTTGTTATTTTATTTAGTCTATTTGAATTTGGGCTTGTTGGTACAAGAAGCCCATTAGGGTTTGCGTTAGTATTAGTTTACAGGCATTAGGCATATATAAGCTCTTGTAAACACACTTTTAATTAGTTTTGAATATAATTTGAGATTGAACACTCTTGTGAGAGCGTGTGACTCTAGGTTCTTGAGTGAGCCAATTTTCTTTGATCTTATCAAGAGGCCAAAACTCTTGTGGCGATCGTTCCTTGGCTTATCAATCTTGCGATTGTGGCGCCATTTTCCATCTCTATTCTATTTTTACTTTTTATTAATTTTCTTCTTATTTCAATTCTTATTTGTACCGTAATAATTTCGTTTTTATTGTGTGAAATCCAATTCAAGATCGTTTAATTCGGCGACACAGTTTGTGGTTGTCATCAATTAGTATCAAGAGCTTTGGTTAGAATTGTATTGAAAAGTACTATTCATCGCACGTTGCTCATTAGAAAAAAAATAGAGGAAAAAAAATATACTACAAAAAAAAAATTGCAACATACAAAAGTATGTTTTTGATATATTTCTTCCAATCTTTCACTTATTTTGCTTGATTCCATACCAAAAAAAAAAGTAGTTGTTTAACGTTATATAATCTTCTTTAAATTCTCCAATTTTGTCTTATTTGCAATCTATTTTTGAGTGTGCTTATTTCTTATTTAGTCTTTTTTTTTCTATTGTCTTGTTGGCTTCCTTAGTTTTGTCTTAGAGTTTTCTTTTGTTGGCTTCACTTGAGTCTCATTGATTGATTGTCTCTTGGTTTTGGTTAATTATGTGGATTGGATGTTGACTTCCTTAAGAACTCTTGAGAGCATTTGAGGGGAAAAAGGCAAGAGAGAAATCCTTACACAAAAGCCAATTTAGAGTGAAACACGAGTGAATATCTACTGAGTGAAAACACTTAGCGAGTGGAGAGAACCTTTTCTTTTTGCATTAACTTTTATTGTTTTGTAAAATGTCTCAAGAAGGAGGATCAAGTAGAGAGAGCACTCCTGCCTCGCAAATTGAAAGACTTGCTCAAAGATTTGAAAACATGTTTGAAAGGCAAAATGAAGCAATAAGGAATATTCAAGAGGCGTTGGCAAATAATGCAAGAAGGCGGTCACGTAATCGTTCTCCACATGCCCATGGAGACTCTAGTAATTCTTCAAGAGAAAGAAGAAGAAATAGGAGAGATGATGAAGAAAGGAGGTATGATAGGTGGAGAGATAATAGAGAGAGGAGGAATCAAAGAAGAAGAAGAGAAGATGTAAGAATAAGAGAAAATGAGAGAATTGGTGGAGTTAAAATAAAAATTCCTAGTTTTCATGAAAGGAATGATGTTGAAGCATACTTAGAGTGGGAATTGAAGATAGAGCAAGTATTCTCATGCCATGATTATAATGAAGAAAAGAAAGTAAAGGTGGCCTCCCTAGAGTTTTACGACTACGCGTTGGTGTGGTGGGATCAAATTCAAAGGGACCGAAGGAGATATGATGAGGAGCCTGTAGATACATGGACTGAAATGAAGAACCTAATGCGTAGGAGATTTGTTCCTACATACTACAATAGAGAGCTTCATACAAAGCTTCAAGGTTTGAGGCAAGGTGGCAAAAGTGTTGATGACTATTATAAAGAAATGGAAGTTGCCATGATACGAGCTAATGTATTTGAAGAAAGAGAAGCACCAATGGCCCATTTCTTAAATGGGTTGAACCATGACATCCGTGACATAGTGGAACTTCATCCCTATGTGGAACTTGAAGATTTGGTTCATCAAGCTATTAAAGTAGAAGCACAACTAAAGAGAAAGGGTACTTTAAGGAAGAGTATCTCCTCCTATAACTCAAAAGGATGGAAGGAAGGAGTGAAGAAGGAGGGAACATTAACTAAGGACATGACTGTCCAAAGTGGTAAACATTCACCTAAAACTTCTTTTAATCCTACTAATGCTTCTGTTTCTTCTACTTCTCGACATAGCGAAATTAAATGCTTCAAGTGCCTTGGAAAGGGTCATATTGCATCCCAATGTCCAAACAAGAAAACCATGATTTTGAGAGAGAATGGTGAGATCTCAAGTGATAGTTCATCTCAATCATCCACGCTTCAAGTGAAGAGGATAGTGAGTTTGAAGCTTTATGCCACGAGGGAGATTTGCTTATGGTAAGGCGTCTCTTGGGTAGTTTAGCTAAGGAGGATGATACCACACAAAGAGAAAATATTTTTCATTCAAGATGTTTGGTACTTGGAAAGGTTTGTTCTCTTATTGTTGATGGTGGTAGTTGTACCAATGTGGCTAGTATTCGACTTATTGAAAAATTGAATCTTACTACTACTCCTCACCCCAAGCCTTATAAGCTACAATGGTTGAGTGATGAAGGGGAGTTGGTTGTTAATAGGCAAGTTTTAATTACTTTTTCTATTGGCAAGTATAAAGATGAAGTCTTGTGTGATGTAGTGCCTATGGAAG